CAAATAAATTCAAGTCAAAATCAAGTCGAGTCAAACTCGAGTTGAGTCAAATTGAGTCAAGTTTAAAATTTATATAATTCGAATCAAGTCGAGTTGAAAAATTTTATAAAATAAATTTGACTCGACTTGACTCGAAAAAAACAAGTTGAATCGAGTTGATCCTTAAACTCGACTCAACTCGACTCATTCGGAACTCTAACTTTGAGATCATACATCATAGTCTTAGAATTTCATAGTTTTTACATATCAGGTAATAAGCGAGAAGAATATTTATTAATACATAAAAAAATAAACATAAGTGCGAGAGTACATGACAGAGCTTCTATGCTACAATTGTAAACTTAAGTTTATTGCTTGAAGTATTGCAGATAATACAATATTCCAACTTATCCTGAGAATATAATTTTGCTAATTCAGAATCATAAGGAAACTGATTCCTATTTTCGTAGTATTATGAGTCATGTAATCTATAATTCCCATATTTTTCATCACAAATAAGGTATAGTGAACTTTACAGCTAAGGTGATATAAAATTATAATTATTAATTCCTCTGAAACTATTTTAGAATTTCAAGTATATGAAATACTCTAAGACGAATTTGATAATTAATTCTAGATCAGGTCTGGCTTCAAAGGTGATAGGTTCTTTTTCTTTACATTGCTTAGAAAAGATAAATAGGATACTTTGTTTTCTAGTTTCAAATTTATGAGAAGACCGGCTTCTGATGCATGCACTTCTGATAATTGCCATAGCTCATTTTCAGTTTCTTTTTTATTCTTTTGTATAATTTAAAATGAATCTTATCTGTTAAAATTCTTGATAATTCAATTAATTTGGCATGCTAATTCAGATAATCAGCAGTTAGTATTTTAATAGACTCAGTTATTTTCCTTTTTATATGACTGCAAACAATTTAAATTCCTTTTTTCTCATATAGACCTACTCATTCAAAAAAAAAAGATTAAAATTCCCAGACTATTATAAAGCAATGAGACTACACAACTATCTCAATTTTATGCTGTTCATATTTAATAAAGTAAGATCTAGCTTTATATCTACCTTCTATTTCTTCATCATCATGACTTAATTTGCATAATAGGCAGATGGTTTTTCCATATGATGTCTCATCAGTAATCTTATAATAATCAAAATTTTCACTACTACATTCTCTATATAGATTAGAATATTGATCTAATATTTTGTTGCGAAAATAGGATCGGTCATAAATTGGCTTAGATTAGGTTACAGATAATATATTTTCTGATGTACTTGCCTTAGCTTTTAGAGGAATATATGCATTAGTCTAATTAATTTTTGAAGTCACATGACTTTGATCATAAAGAATCTTCACAGTTTTATTGTATAAACTTGTTGTTAAATTTACATAATCTATAATATTTTGTATTAATGAGTAATTGAGCTTGAAATGACATCTACATTATAAGAGACTTGTTTAATTTTCTCTAGTTCTAATGTATTGAATAATTTATATAATTTTCTAATTCTAAGGATTTTTTGATGCAAATTCACATCTGTTATATCTGGTAAAATCTGTTTAATTTTTTGATATATCATAGATGTTGCAATTTTTTTCTTAACTTCACTAGCAACAACGTTATCAATCCTTTTGTCATATTTTTCTATAAAGTAGTATCAGTACAAAATTACTTCTTGATCAAACTTATTAGCTTTTCTAAATATACAAGCTATATTTTATATGATATCTGAAGATGGACCTGTTCTTCTGAAATTTGATCTGATGTAGATGTATGTGCAGGTGATAATAACTGTTGTTTTAACTCCTGTTTTACAATTATATTTTTATCCAACTTAGCAATAACTTTATCATGCTGATCAGATTTAAGTTTCTTCATATCACATAACTCTGATCATGAAGAATCTTCACGGTTTTCAAGATTACATACTAATTTAGTTGCATTAACTTGTAGTTGTTTTGATAAAATGCAAGATGCTGATTTTATGTTCTCAGGACTAGTCTCATAAGATTGTGATAGTCTTGCTCATCTTGCTCTAAAGTTAATATGTTCATAACTTTAGAAATTTTAGTCATATCCTGAGAAATTACAAGTGCCTCTTGATCTTTCTGCTTCTTTTTCTACCTCTTCTCTCTAATCTCATTGCTAATGCTTCGCTTATACGTCTCATCCAAGAAATTGACCATTTCCTCATCATTACTATCAAGGTCATTAGATGCTTGTCCTACTTCATTATTGAGTTAATCTATTACAGAATTAGATATATCAACAGTTAGTATCATCATCACTGGCATCACTTCTTCACCGTTTTGTATCTGACCAAATGATAATATCATCTCATCTACTGTTAAATTCTATTCTAATAATATAAGTCTATCTTCAAGCTCTCTGACTCTAGATTTAAGTTCAGCATTCTCAGAATCATGCCTTGCATTCTCTTTAATAATTTGCTTTAGCTTCACATTCTTAGCCTCAACCTCAGCAAATCTTAGTAACTTCTCTCTAAATTCAGAAATCTTAGCATTCTCTTTCCTGCGTTTGATGATCTCAGCCAGAACTTTGGTATTTAATTCTTTCAATAAATCAGTGGATTGTATGTTTGATGATTATTTTTTATATGAGATAGAATAATTTAAAAATTCATTAGTATAGATAAAAAAACTGTAACAAAATATCATGATCAGAATTATTATTTATTAATGTAAAAAAATAAATTACAAGATTTGAAAATACATAAACATTTTACAAAGTGGAATCTCTATATTAATGCCTGCTGGTATTTTATTCATCTAAGGCTATACTATCTGTATACTAACACAATATTCTAACATTAACTCTTGATTTTATTCATTCTAATGTTAATATTCTGAACAGAATAAAATAGTCATCATTTATGCATAAAACACAGCAAAGCCAGAAATAAATTAACAATATTGACCTTAGTAAAACTCATAAAAGTTTATGTTTTTTATCTAACAAAAAAAAATAGACATTAGCTTTATAAGCTTTGAATCACTTCCTTGTAAATATATAGTCATAACATATCTTGTTTACGTAATATCTTTTAGAATATAACAACTGTGATTGCATTCTCATGTGACATTATGATATGTGGCTGATTTTTGATTGATAAATTTTTTTTTGTATTTTGATCCTTGACATATCACTGACTTAGTTTGTAATATTACTGACTCACAGTTCATAGTAATTAGTCAACAACCATTTATAAAAACATATATATATATAATAAATAATTAAAATATCAAATTATTCTTTACTATTTCAAGTACTCTCGTCATCCCAGATACAAACTAAATTTGAGAAAAATTCCATACCTGCCAGTCTAACGTTAAATTCAAAAAGGTCTTTATTTTATATTACTGGACTAATAATTTTTTTGACCTTGTTTTAACTCTCAATTTCTGCATTTGCAAATATATGGCTGATATTATGTTATATTATTACCTTTAGGTACTCCTATTAATAATGCTATTCTGGTTAACATTAGCAAAATGACTTGCGTTGAAGAAGTTTATGTCTCTATTGAAAAGTTCTTTTTGGACATCTCAAGAAACAAATATGGCCAACAACAATGAAGCTAATAAACTGAGACTATAGAAGTTTGAAACCCTTTTCAAAAAAGATAATAAGAAGTTAAAAATATTTAATAAGAATTTTCATAATAATATTAATCTTAAACAAGAATTTGATGAAGATTTGAGCCCAGATGAATTGATTAGAACAATTTTTTTGATTGGTTATGTATTTTTACCTAATTATATACACATCATTATAGAACTGCCTCCACTTGCCACCATTAGTATGTATCTTCTATTGGTTTACCTCTTAAACAAGAATTTGTATTATTTTATATTTTTTATTCAATCAGTCAAAAGGAAAGCAGATGATTTGGACTTGAACGAGACAAATATATCAAAAAAAGAGAAACTAATAGGTAATATTTATTTTTACATTATATGGAGAATAAACTATACATTTTCGATTCTTTCCTCATAGAAGAAATATGTTATACTAACATTTTCTTATTATTCTTATATGATCTAAAGATTTTGATTTTCCTGAATTAATAGTAAGATTTTTTATAGAAGATGATGAGAATAAAAAATGAATCAAGACTGATTTCGCAAAATCATACAAGCTGTGAAATTTGATTTCAAAAGAGAGAGTTAAGATGACATACTATATTAACTATATGATTATATTTATAATTAGCATTGTGAAATTAATAATGTAAAAAGCTTTAGTGATAAGGTATTACACCCTCTTTTAACGTTTCAATCTGCACTGAAAAAGGTAAATTATTCTTTTTTTGATGAGTTAGCTAATTTAAAAAATAAAGATATTTAGAAAAAAAACATTCTGAGCATATTAATAATAAAAATCTCGAAGAAGTTATAAATATTATTCGTAATTCAATTGGCATTTGTATTATATACAATAGAGGTTTATCATATAATGGTAATATGGATGGAAACATTCAAAGAGGATTAATAATGTGAATTTTATGGAGTTATTTTTTTAATGAAAATAAATTAAAATGAAGTAATTTTTGTGATAAATTTGAAAAACATTTTGATTCATTAAGTACTTATATAGCAATTGGTAATATCATTCATCATTCTAGTAAATCAGTACTTTTATGTATTAATAAGACTATGAGAGTATTACTAAAAGGTCATAGTTATCTTAAAAATATTAGGATACTATTAAGTAAACTCTACAAACCCTATTGGGATTTTTCAAAATTGACCAACAAATTCTATTTTGTTATATCTACTTTTGATATACTTAATGTATGAAAGACCTAAACAGACTCATAAAGACCAATTTAGTGGATACTAAGAAGGCTTGTTCTTTCAGAATCAGTAAATTTATTTTGCACATTAGTAAGAGAATTAGATAAACCTAGATTATATTATTTGTTATTAAAAAATGCATCTCTGATTATAATGGACATCTAAAGACTTTAGAGAAATTTTATCAAGTTATAAATATCGAAAATAGTGATGATACAAACTTAAATACTGATAATTACATTTCTTTTATAGAGTATTTGACAAGAAATCTTAGGCAATTGCTTGGTAAAATTTCTCTTTCTATAGTTAAGTAGCACTATTAGAAAATGAAAAATTCATAAAATATAAAATAAAAATAAAAATAAGCAAATCAACTTTAAGAGATCTTATTTCTTCTAGAATAATATATCAATTCACTTACTAATAAAGAAGAAGTATTCAGTATTTATCCTAACTTTATTTCTAATCATTCTTCAATATTCTGTATATACAACAAAAACAGTGAAAATGAGGAAATAAAAGCTATTACTAAAATATTACAATGCTTATTAACAACTGAATCTTCTTTTGATAAAGAAGTAAGGGATAGTAAACCATTTGAAAGATTTTATACCAATTGGAAATTACTTTATCATGCATTTCAAGAGAATAAAAAGAATGTAAATCTTCGTAATATTTATAGTTTACCTAACGAGAACTGGAAAAAAATTAAAATAAAAAAAATTGAAATATAACTGCAATGGAAAGAGATTACCTATTGTCATAATGAAATAGAGTTTCCTCCAAAGAATGAAATATATAGTATAGATAATAGAACTTTCAAAAGCCTTGTTAATTATGTATTTGTTCCTGAAAAATCAAATAATAGCAGTTTTGACATGATCATTTTTGAAAAAAAGTCTGATAGATCTAAATATATTACAATCAATATTGAATGCAGGTTTTCTTATTCAGACAAGACAATAACTCTAGGAAGTCAAGAAATATCAGATAAATATAAACTTATAAGAAATAAATATCTTATACATGTTAGATATTTATGCAAGAAAACTAGAATAAACAAAGTTTGAAAATATGAAGCATTTTATGACAAATCTGCTGTAAGAAAACTTAAAATAAGCATAAATGATATTTATTTAGTTGCCATGATTTAGAGAGATGTAAAAAATTTTAGTAATGATATATTAGATAATAAAACATAATTATTATTAATAGAGATAATTTAAAAAAAATCTACACTTTATTACTTCTAATGCGTTTACAGTTCTAATTAAATTTCAAATGAATAATATTGACAATAAATCATGATGTGTTAGGAATCTGAATTTTTTGTAAATTAAATTTCAAATGAATAATATTGACAATAAATGCTAACGTGTTAGAAATTTGAATTTTTCGTAAATTAAATTTCAAATGAATAATATTGACAATAAATGC